CCTAAATTAAAAGTTTTCACTCACTTTTTTTTAAGAAAATAAATCCTTTTGTTGGCAGTTTCCCACTGATGACATGCAACAATCTTTGCATATGAAATCGGCTAGTCCCCTGCTTCACTGCTAACTTTGTAGAAGTTCCAAAGCATTTCTGGAGCAAATGATCTATTTGGACTAACAATGCCAAGCTGGGACCTGAGCCCTGAATGAGCTAAAATTACCAAAGCAATAAGAACATGGCTTTGGAAGCTATTTCCCCCAAGTGTGGGGTTTCTTCTAGCTAGTTGAGGGAGTGATAAAGAATGCTGACTTTTTCCAGATGAACAAAGTTGAATGAAAACTTAAAATCCCACTGCAAGTTTCTATTCTGAAAAACAAGCTGCTGCTGCAGAGGTTCCTGTCTCCGCTATTTCCCTCTCCTCAAGCACAAAAATGCACCTGTCTTCCCAAAGTTCATGAGTTCAACATGGGCACACCAGTGTAGACTATGTGCTGGGCACTGAGGATGTAGGCACAAGGAAGCCAGGCCCCTGTCCTAGAGGAGTTCCCTGTCAGGCAGGAAGAGAGGCACATTCATGACTAATGAAAACACGACATAAAATGCTACAATCCATAAGCAAGGCAAAAGCAAAGTGAAAAGAGTTCTGAGGAGGGGGAGAGTCTCTCTTGGGGGCAGAGGGAGGAATAGGGAATGCCACTGAAGCAAGGTGCTCTCAATGTACTTTGTCTATTCCTTTATCACAGGCGGAGGGGGCTGGACCACAAACTTCTGTCACATGTCTACCTTGCCCACCTGAAGGTGAGCTCCTGGTGGGCAGAGGCCCCATATCAGACAATGATTAATCCATCCTGGCTGGCTCAAAGGAGTGCAAGAGAGTGTGTTCACAGAAGAGTTAGAAATACCAAAGGTCTCAGGGAAGGGGGAAGAGAGAGTGAGGCTGGAGAAGTAAGGTGGGGCTGGGGATAGAGCTGGTCTAAGGAGGGCTATGAATGCTAGGCTAAGAAACTAAAACTTTATTCAGTAGGCAATAGGGAGATGCAGAAGGTTCTAATAAGAGCAGTCAACTAAGACTGTGTTTTAGAAGATTATTCTAAAAGCAATTGGGAAAATAGATCAGAGACGGGGTAATCAATTAGAAGACTGCTTCACTGTTTTAGATAAGAGCTGATGCTGGCCTGAATGCAGGCAGTGATGGTGGAGCTGGAAAAGAAAAACTTAAAAGATAAACTGCCAAGCCCACCTTGAACTGGTCCATTCTCTGTGTTCCCCCAGTGCCTGGCTTCTACCTTTCTTTAGCACTTACTTTGAGGCCCCCATGTTACACACTCCCTGAGTATGATACCCATTTCCTTTCCATCACTTCCTCCCCCACAGAAATCCTACATAGCAGGACAAGAAAAGTCAATGCCTGCCACCCCTGGGTCACGCTGTCATTTCAATCACAGTACCTGAGATGCAGAGGTGCATTGGTATATTCACTTAATACAGCACTGGGCCTCGCATACAGAAAGCAGTAAGGAGACATCTGACAACAAAAAAATTTAGCACACTCAAACAACAGTAACAGAGCACAGGTGCCTAGATAGAACAACTTAGAATTTTAGGGCTCTAGGCACAGAGAAACCAGTTTGAGCCTCCTAAAAAGAAACATAAAATTCAACACTATGAGCCCAGTAGCAGGCTGAATTGCAGTTAGATGATGGTGAGCTCTCCAAATGAGTAGTTCTCACTTTCACAACCTGCTTGGCAAATAAATGAGAGTAAAGAGAGAACAGAGGTCAAAGGTGAGTCAAACTTTGAGTTATGTGGACCCTCCAAGAGGGACAGCCTTAGCGAAGATTTATTCAAGCAAATGCCAACTGAAGAGATAGGACAGCTGTGTGTGCTGTGTAAGAGGGAGGTTGGTAATACAGAAAGAGCAGAATGGGCTTGAAAACTCAGAAACTAAAATTATACTCTGGCTTGAAAACTTGCCTTGAGCTGTAAGCTTCATGGACAGTTTTTCCATTTCCTTTCACTCCTTCCAAATCATGCTGTGTAGCTGATGGGAACATCGGCTACTTTACAAAGGAGACTGCCAAGTGGGGACCTAGCACTGGAAGACCTGTGTTCCAATTCCAGCCTTGCCATTTATTAGCTGTGTGGCTATAGGCAAGTCTCTGAGCTTCGGTGTCCTCATCTATGAAATGGAAATACTAACCACAGCAATACCTACCAAAATGTCACTTAGAGGACTAACAGAGATAATGCATAGGCATATGGCAAGACTGTCAGGAAAGAAGGGGTTTTATTTTTCCTTGAACTGGGATTGTAATTCGATAAGTAGTGGTATAAACCAACTACTATGGGAAGTAAAATGTAAAGTTCCACAGCAGTTGGCTTTGACATTTCCTGAGTATAAGAAGTATACTTCAAGACAGCTCTGGGTTGGCTTGGGCTAACACTCAGTATAGCAACATACTTCTCACCAAAAGCCAGCAAGCTGTGCTGAAACTACCTTGGAAACCATTCTATTGGTGTCAGAGAGATTAATTAATTACTTAATTGCTAATCCACAAACATAAAGCCACCTCTGCTTCCCACTTGAGGGGTTTCCTCCTCACACCTGGTGCCACAGCACAGTGGCATTTACATGTAGGAGATGCCAGATGAGCTCTTTGAAGTCACTGCAAGCAATTCTCAGAGCCACCAAGTTTAAGTCAAGAAGGGGTTTGAAGATACATAGGAGGTAAACGAATTCCCAAACTCACCCTGGCCCTTTGATCAGGTCTCTACCCAGGACAGTGGGTACCCAGGAAACTGAAATTCAAAATGTGGTTTGGCCAACTTCAAGTTGTTGTCTTTTTTCCCCTTTCTCCTCCCAAGGAAAAAACTGAAGAGAGGTAAGGGAAGTGTTTTTCAACTCATTCAAACTGGCACACTTCTTTGAACCTAGTCTGCCAGTTTCCAAACGATGCTTGGGTTTTTTAAATAACCTCACAGATTTATCAACATTCTAACTTGGAGGATGAACAGTCTACAGGTTCAAAATTCATGGTTCTCAAACCAACAGCTACATGTATCTTGCTTCTGAGGACTTGCGTCGATTTCAAAATCAGAGCTGGTGGAAGCTGCCATCTGCCTAAGTGGCCTCTCTGCGGTGCCTGAAGAGTCAAGCACAGTTTATATGTATGTTTGCTGAATGAATGAGTAGATGAATGAAACAATCTCCGAGAGGAAAACAGCCATTACACACTAAGACACTTATCACTGACTCTCTTTAACACATCACTTCTACTCTCCTAGGACTCTTCCAGATCTAGGAGTACAATAAAATCATCAAAAACCATGCATGCTTTTTCTTCTAGCAAAAGGGAAGCTAAGGTTACAACCTAGTTATAACTTCCTCAAGCCTATCATCTTGGGAAATAAATTCCTAATCCTTTCCCTCAGGTAATTAAAGGCAAGTAAGCAAACAAAATAAAACTTAATCAGCTATGAATGGTTCCCTCTTCTAAAATCTGCTTCCCTTCCCTCAGTTTCTTTGGCCCTAGGTGTCTGGCAGCGGGTGGGCCTACACTCCTGTGTGCCAGGGTTTATCATGGAGGTGGTATGGATAGAGCCTGTCACAAAGGGTCCCAGTGCTGCTGGTCAGTTTCCAGTTCTTCCATTCTTCAACTTTTGCAAAACTATTTTCCCCAGGCAAAATGAGGTGGTGGAAAGGAACCAGTCATGAGTCGTGAGACTGAGCTAACTTGCCATGAGACCCTGGGCAAATCTCTATGAGTTGAGAGAACGCTGGGTTCATCTTTTAGGCTAAATGTGAGGAAGCAAAGGAACTTGAAAAAAAAACAGAGAAGGTCTCAAAATTACAAAACATCTTCATTCAGTTCCTAACCCTTGGTGTTCTTTCTGGTAGAAGGCAGGGTGACTATTTGCCCACTTTAAGGTTCATTCTCTTTACCAGCAGCAGCTAAAAAGGCTGCTCCCCCAACTGGAGATGATACTTCCCCATTCCTTGCTTGTCTAGACTCAAACTTCCTGGAACTAGCTGGGAAAGAGGGCCAGCTGTCTTCTCTTTACAAAGGAAAAGACAGGAAGCACTGGAGCATATAAAGGGCTGGTTTCTTTCCCTATCACCAACTGAACCTCGTTACCCTCATCTATGAAATGGAGATGAGACCAGTTGCCTTAGCCCATCTCTCAGGGCCCTGGCAGAGTAGGGATGAGAGGTCCAGTGTTATTCTGACCCAGAAACTCCCTCCTGGCCCTCAGCTCTCTCATTCAGGGAGCCTTATGGGAGATTCAGAAAGGGGTGTGGAGGCTGAGGGATGCCTTAGGGCCTCTACCTCCTTACCTCTGCCACCTGGCCAGGGAGGGGCAGGAGAGTGTGGTGTGGCGCCCAGTGCACTGAGGTTCAAGGCCTCCTCATCCTGTCCAATGCTGGCCTGGATGGGACAAGGATGCAATGCTGGCCCGGATGGGACAAGGATGTCATAGCTTCCCTCTGTGAGGAGGGACTCCCACCTAGAAGATCTGACAATATCCTTCTTGCTCCTTACTCCAAGGAGGTACCAACGGCCTTAAAGGGAGAGAGACAGACACCTTGAGAAACTTAAGGAGACAGAAAAGAACAGAGGGAAGGAACTGGTAGAGAGGTAAAGAGAAGGTGAGAGAGAAATGACGGTACAAACAGGTAGGGGGAAAAAGAGAAAGTGAAGGGATGAAGAAAACACAAAGAATCAGAAAGAGGAGGACAGACACAGATGAAGAGATGAAGACGGACTGACAGCGCGGGAGCTTCGGGGAAGCGGGGAAGACAAAGGGGACCATCCGGTCTTTTTAACTGGCCTGGCCTCTTAGAGAAACCCCGTTCCCAAATGAAATGCCCAGAGGACGGGAGAAGGAGGCAGGAAGGAGCAAGCAGTGGCTCCCCCCGGTCCCCTCCGCCCCAGCCCCCAGCCCCTCCCGGGGTCCCAGCCCCCGCCCGGGTCCCACTGTCCCTCCCCGCCCGCTTGCTCACCTGCCAGCGCCAGGATCTGGGCCTTGTGGAGCAACAGCGCGCCCCAGTCGCGGGGGGCGCGCGGGGGGCTCTCGGGCCCGGCGCCCAGTTCCTCCGGGCCCCGGTACACGGCGTACACCTTCTGGTTGTCAAAATCCAGCCGCGAGCGGGGGCTGAAGTCGCGCACGCACGACACGGGCAGCGCGTAGCAGACGTTGTCCTCCAGGAACCGCACAAAGGCGTACATGGTGGGCGCCGGGGGCGGGCCCCGGTCGGGCCGCTCAGCCCGCGGGGCGGGCGCGGAGGTGGGGATCCGGCGGGGGGCGCGAGCCTCGCTGCGGTGTTGGGGGGGCGGGGGCGGCTCCCCAGGACCCAGGCTCCCCCCACTGTTATTGTTCCTGAAAGCACCGTTCTGCCAATCGGCTGCTCTCGCCTGGGCGCGGAAAAAGGAGGGAGGGGGGAAAGGGGGACGAGGGGCGGATGAGGGGGGTTTGGAAGCGCACTGCCACTTGCAAAGTCAGACCCGAGCAATCACAGCCGGAGCGCGATTCGAATGGGGAGGGAAAAGGGCTCAGAGATTCAGTTGCAATAAAAATAATAACAAGAGCATTGCAGGAAAAAAATGTATTGATTAAAAGGTGCGCTGCGGGCAGGATTATATTGCTTCAACAATCGCGCTGCCAAATTGCATTGCAACAAAACTGCATTGCCAAGGAGAGAAGTGTATGAGAGAATGAATGCGGGATAGGGGTGGGGGCAATCTTGTTTGAATCTCAAAGTGTAAACTTAGAAGCCAGCAGAAGTTTGGAGTGTTTTAAATTTAGCCATCCTACCCGCATCCCCCGCCTCGTACGCCCCCCCCCCCCCCCCCCGCCACCCCGCGCCTTTCCCAGCACCTTAGTTTGGCCCCGCCTTTTCTTTGCTTTCTTTCTTTTTGTTTGTTTGTTTTGTTTTGCAAAACGGCCAGCTCCCGCTGTGGGAAGGGTCAGTCAGACAGAAAATTTCCCCTAGAGCTGCCAAACCAGTTCTGACCAGAACTGGGGCTTATCTGGGATTTCCAGTTGTGCCAGCTGGCTGGAGTGGTGGAAGGTTTGTCAAGGGCTGCTCTCATCTGAGGGAGCAGTGGCGCCCCTCTCTTCTGTAGTCTTTCTCCATTGAGGTACCCTCTCCACAGCACGCCCACCACTGACCAGGGACAAGTTGGAATCGCGGAGGGAATTGAGGAGCGCTCTGGGTAAGACAGGCCCAAGGCTAGGGATTTCTGGAGCACTTTGAGGAGTACAGGAATATACTCCATGGAATAGCGGTCTTTGCTCTGTCTTTTGTCAAAGAGAGCCTGGAGGGGCTTGGGTCCCCTCCAAGACAAGCCATGAGGACCAGCCAAAGGGGGCTGATTGGGCTCTGTACTCATAGGAACCCTATCCCACATCAGAGGAGGTCAATACCTTCACAAGGATGCCTCTGAGGGGGTGGGTTTCGTATCAAATATGGCTAGTTATATTTCTGTTGCCTAGCCAGACCTGGCACTTGACGGTGAGTTAATGAATTTTGGGTAAAGAAGAATAAAGAAAAACTCATATTCACCCATCCATCCATCCATCCATCCATCCATCCATCCATCCATCCATCCATCCATCCATCCGTTCATTCATTCCTTTATTCAAGCCACCAATATTGACTGAATTTACACCACCTGCCAGATTCTGGGCCAGGTGCTGGTGGTAGAGATTAAAAGACAAACACCTGGATTCTTGGGCCTTGCAAAGTCAGTGTACCAGAACTTGAATCTCAGTTTTGGGTTCCTGTGCCAAAATTAGGTAACTGTATGAATAACATACCTTTCCCATCCTCACAACTTTTACAATCTAGTCTAGGAGTATTAAAGAAGTATAAGCAAGTAATGACAGTATAATGAGAAAAGTATTGTCATAGAGGAATGCTTAATGGAGGTGTTGGACTCAATTAAATGTTATATTTTTAAAAATTCATTTTAATAAACTTTAGCTGTAAGAAAAAAACAAAATAAGTGCACCAAAATGTTAATAGTGATTTTCTTAGTTTCTTAGTAGTGGTAGATGATTTTGTTTTTCCTTGTATTCATTGTGTGTGTGTGTGTGAACTTTAGCTGTAAGAAAAAAACAAAATAAGTGCACCAAAATGTTAATAGTGATTTTCTTAGTTTCTTAGTAGTGGTAGATGATTTTGTTTTTCCTTGTATTCATTGTGTGTGTGTGTAACTATTATCCACAATGTTTTATAATCAGAAAACATTAAACATTATAAAATCAAAGCACTGTGCTCACATTTCACATCATCTGCACTAACAATGAAGCAGATATTTATTTCACTGTGATATAGAGAGCGCATTATATAAGTGAATCCCATCAACATACAGCTCTCATATCCAAATGTGTAGGTCAGTACAAATTTTTTTACACCAACCCACTGGTTATGTGGTACCAGCCAAAAATGATCACCACTTGTCCTGAGGCAGCTGTTGGTCTTATCTTGCCCTACAAGCTTGTGGAAAAAAGAGGAGCCACTCTGAGTTGTTCCAGCACATTTACTCTCATGATTATGATTTCTTTGGACTGATCTTCAATGAGTTTTTAAGAATACATTCCTATGGTGGTCAAGGGGAAGTAATGTTCAGCAAGACTTCTGATAATTCACAAGATGGATCATGCAGAGTTGGCCGTATTTAACGTAAGTCCTTGAAGCTCCGGACTGTGTTCCCAAAATGATTTCAAGTAATTCATGGCCAACCTCCTCTCTGCATCTAAATGGGGGTGACCACAAAACATTCCCAATCTCATCTCTTACTACCTTCCCAGACACAGTACACTCCAGACACCTGAACTATTTGACATTTCCCAAGACAGCATGTTTTAGCAAGTCCCAAGCTTTTGTGCTTTTTCTGCCTTCATCCTGGGAAGTTCTTCCTTCCTCAACTTACCCTGAAAATCAGCTCAAATCAGCCTTTGTGAAGTCTTCCCCAACCACCCACACTTCTCAAGCATAGCTCATCTCTTTCTACTACAATATTTTGTCCCAGTACTTTTTATCTTCCTTCACTATAATAAGAGCTCTTTGAGGGGAGGCAAAGGCTGAGTAACTTTAGCATCCCAGGTACCTAGCACAGGGCTGAGGAGTAAATGTTTATAAAACAAACGTATTAAAGAAAGACATAAAGACAGCATGAATAACAAACCTCTTGCACATTTTTTCTCGAAAGTCTGTTCCTTTTTTTTTTTTTTTTTTGAGACAGAGTTTTGCTCTTGTTGCCTAGGCTGGAGTGCAATGGCCTGGTCTCGTCTCACTGCCACTTCCACCTCCCGGGTTCAAGCAATTCTCTTCCCTCAGCCTCCCGAGTAGCTGGGACTACAGGTACCTGCCACTGCGCCCAGCTAATTTTTGTATTTTTAGTAGAGATGAAGTTTCACCATGTCAGTCAGACTGGTCTTGAACTCCTGACCTCAGGCAATCCGCCTGCCTCAGCCTCCCAAAGTGCTGGGATTACAGACGTGAGCCACCGTGCCTGGCCTTTATTATTATTATTATTATTATTATTATACTTTAAGTTCTGGTATACATGTGCAAAACGTGCAGGTTTGTTACATAGGTTTACATGTGCCATGGTGGTTTGCTACACCCATCAACCCGTCAACTACATTAGGTATTTCTCCTAATGCTATCCCTCCCCTTATCCCCTAACATGCCACCCCTCTGCAGGCCCTGGTGTGTTCTCCTCACCGTATCTATGTGTTCTCATTGTTCACCTCCCACTTATGAGTGAGAATAGGACACAAACAAATGGAAAAACATTCCATGCTCATGGATAGGAAGAATCAATATTGTGAAAATGGTCATATTGCCCAAAGTAATTTAAAGATTCAATGCTATCCCCATCAAGCTACCCCTGACTTTCTTCACAGAATTAGAAAAAGCTACTTTAAATTTCATGTGGAACCAAAAAAGAGCCCGTATAGCCAACACAATCCTAAGAAAAAAGAACAAAACTGGAGGCATCATGCTATCTGACTTCAAACCATACTACAAGGCTACAGTAACCCAAACAGCATGGTACTGGTACCAAAACAGATATATAGACCAATGGAACAGAACAGAGGCCTCAGAAATAACGCCACACATCTACAACCAACTGATCTTTGACAAATCTGAAAAAAAAAGCAATGGGGAAAGGAGTCCCTATTTAATAAATGGTGTTAGGAAAACTAGCTAGCCATATGCAAAAAACTGAAACTGGATTCCCTCCTTACACCTTATACAAAAATTAACTCAAGATGGATTGAAGACTTAAATGTAAGACGTAAAACCATTAAAACCCTAGAAGAAAACCTAGGTAATACCATTCAGGACATAGGCATGGGCAAAGACTTCATGACTAAAACACCAAAAGCAATGGCAACAAAAGCCAAAATTGACACGTGGGATCTAATTAAACTAAAGAGCTTCTGCACAACCTGTTCCCCTTTTTAAGAGTTGAAGCTGAATCCCAACTCTGCCTTTCCCATTCCCAGTGATCGTAGGGCAGAACATTGATTCTACCCCTCGTAAGACAGACGCATTCATGAACATATTAAATATCACTGCACCCTCAGGTTCAAATTCCCTACCCATGTCAGTGTAAATCATTCTTAAAAGGAGGCAGTTCCATTTTCCGAGAACCTAGAAAGAGGAAAAGAACGAACAATGGACTGGATGCTGACAAAGTAAACACAGATCGAAATGCATTTTTCGTAGATCCACAGAATAGATTCTGGAGTAGTCATGACTAGCACGGGATGCTCAAAGAGATACCCTCAGCGGCACCAGAAAGACGTCAGTTTCAGCTTCCTGTGTGACTCACACATTCAGTCTATGGATACAGCTTAATGGAAAAGCTACTATGTGCCATAGTGTGCCTCTTCCACCCTACTGAAAACTGAGCAAGAGTACTTTGACCTGGACACCATAGCCCTGGGCTTTACACATACCAGATATTCAAGATATTGATGATTCATTGACTAGTAAGCAAAGATAGTTTAAATACAGATTTCAGACTTAAAGAGGCAATTGCAAACTTCAAGTTTAACCAAATCATTGTTGAATCCTCTCTTCAGTATTTCTGCCAAATGGGCATCTAGAACACCTTTTATACAGTTATAATGCCAGGAAGCTTACTAGCTTCCCTTAACTTTTACACATTACCAAGTGTTAGAAAGGTCTTTCTTACTTGCATTGAGGTAGAATCTTTAACCTTGTGGCAGCGTTACTAGGTTTACCAAGACTCTCACACCTGCCCTTCAGACATGGTAAAACTTGGAATCCTGTCTCCCAGCTCTTTGTTTGTCTTCTGCCCAAACATCTTCGTTTCCTTCACCTGTCTCTCCTCATATGACCTGGTTTCAGTGATGATAATTGTAATACCTACTTTTTCTCTAAAGCTTATAAATCATGCATGGCAGGCGCTGTGTATACATGATCTCAGTTATTTCACACCAAATTCTTGAAGTGGGTGTTATTAAACCCATGATAGAGTTGAGAAAATGGAGAACTATGGCAAAGCAGTTTGGCTCTGGGGAGCCCTGGTAGGCTTGTGGTTATATTTGAATTTTAGACAGTTTGCTCTAGAAACCTTGTGGGGAAGGATTGGAGGGAACGCAAGTCTAGGGAGACAGAGGCCTGCGAAGAGGCTGACTGTCCTGTCTCACCCCTCCCCCAACTCTCTTTTTCTGTGGGCCAAATGTACTTTGCCTCTCATCCAAGTCATTTTAATGGAGCAGAAAATGTACACATCTGGGGCAGCTTTGCAACTGCGTCTCCATTGCACTCTCCTGTTGAGTTTTGCAGAGCCTTGGGTTAATGTCGGGCTCCTTCGGTTTAGCCAGCTGAAGCATGTTCAGTGGCAGCAGTGGGACTTATGTTTCATATTACTGCATGGAATTCTCAATGTACTTTGCAAAACTATTTTTAAGGAGACCTGGGTTTTGTAAATTTTTAAAGCAATTGGAGCGTGTCTTTCCAACCTCTCTGCTAATGATTGACCACATTTTTTCATGATTTTGCCTTTTTTCCCCTGTGATGTTTGATTTGACTTTTCAAGTCTCTGCTTTTTACATTTTTAAAAGACTTTTGAAATAGTAGTTTCAGGTTCATAGTAAAATTAAGAGGCAAGTACAGAAATTGCCTTCATACCTCCTATCACCCACACAGGAATAGCCTCCTTAATACCAACATCCCCCACTAGAGTGGTACATTTGTTGCAACTGATCAGCCTACACTGACACATCATCATCACCTGAAGTCCATAGTTTACATTTGAGTTCACTCTTCGTGGTGTACATTCTATGGCTTAGGACAAAAGTATAATGACATGTATCCACCATTATGGTATCATACAGACTAACATCACTGTCCTAAAAATCCTCTGTGTTCCACCTATTTAGCCCACCTCAGCAGCTCCAACCCTGGCAACCACTGATCTTTTTACTGTCTCCATAGTTTTACCTTTTCCAGAATGCCATATAGTTGGAATCATACACTATGTAGCCCTTTCAGATTAGCTTCTTTCACTTAATAATATGCATTTAAGATTTTTTCATGTTGTCTTATGGCCTTTTACATTTTTTAAATTTTCCTATTTTGGCCAGAAAAGTAATTTGCTGTGCTGCAAAAAAGTAAATTGCTGTGTTGAGGGCCACTATCTTCTCAGGTTGATTCAAGGAAGGAATGTTGATACATGGCCAGGAGGATCTGGAGCTACTGGGAGGCCTGTAGTGGGCATTATCCTGAGCTGTGTAGTGATACCCTAAAGCAGGGGCATCAACCCAACTAATTCATATGCACTCCTGCTAATGAAGTCTGATTGAGTCTGCTTGTGGGATTTTGGGCTGGGAACAGAATAGCAATGGAGACAGGGAAGGAAGGAAAGAGAGGAGTTGCATATTGAGTATAGGCTTAAAGGCCAATGAACATCACCTGGATAAGTTATCCAGGTGAGACTTAGAGGGAATGTAAACTTGTCAAGTAGATGACAGATT